GGGGGGGTGTGGCAGCTAGCCCAGTGTGCTTTGCTAGCTTGGGAGTAGCCTCGGCGGGTTGGCGCGGCTTCGGGTCTTGTCTGCCTGTGGAGCTCTGGTGGTGGGTGATGGCGACGACGAAAACGACGGCCCCGCGGTCGTATCAGTTTTTGGTTTTTTTTAGTGCGCGAGCTGGTATGTGTGTGTATATAACTTTGTAGAGCCGCGAAAGAAAGCGAAAGGTAGTATGTGGTATGTAGTATGTGGAGGTATCAAGGATGCTGGCGTCGTTGAGGAGAATCGTGATTCCTTGCGGATCTGGTCTGGAAAGTGTCTCAAAGCGAGTGGTGTGGGAGCTGTGAGAGCGGACGGGTCAGTGGCGATGGGGATCTCGAGGTATTATAGCAAAAAGAAGATTCTGACCCCAAGAGGAGATTCCCATCCAAGCCAAACCCGGTCCAGGAACGGGTTGGAGGGGGTGGAGGAGAGTTCGTCATATCAAGCACATGAATGGGTGTGTCTCCATTTCTGTGTACAGGGCCCTTTTTTGGCACTGCATGTCGCTACTCGGCAAAGTGTCTTGTCTTTTTCTTAGGTTCTTTTTTTTATCTCTTATTTATTCATCCATTTTATCTCTTCCTCTCTCTCTCCCTCTCTTCCATTGCAACCCTTGGCAGGGGTGTGGATGAGCCAGAAGGGGAGGGGAGGTGGGGGAGGGCGTGCGTTCGAGGCGGCGGGGGCGTGTCTTTTCTGCTGTGGTCAGAGACAGGGGTGGAGGGGGAGAGCAGCAGGGCCAGCGATGTTCGGAAGCGATGGGATGGGGCCCAGGCAAAGTGCAGGATAAGTCAGCAGGGGCGGCGGGCGGCAGAGGTAGGCCGCTTCTCCTCGCGAGAGCGCACGTCGGTGCAGATGGTGCATTAGTGGGCTGCAACCTGCAACCACCAAGCCAAAGGAAGAGCACGCACACACTTTCTGGCCTGAAGAGAAGAGAGGGGAACGGCCTTTTTTTCGTGGCGCACACGGGGAAAAGAAAATACGGATGATAGGGAATTACTAAGGACGGCTTTGCCTGTTTTTTTTTTTTGCGAGACAACAGCTGGGATCAACAGGACGAATTGCTTGCTTCTTTTGCTTTCCCGCGCGTGGGGGATGAACGTCCCATGTCCCATGTCTATCCATGTCGATGCTCGGCACGTCAAGCTTTGTGGCATTGATGGCGAGATGTCGCTTGTCTACTAGGAATGCAGGCGCAACAGGTAGTGCTAAAGACTCCCAAAAACACACACCCCCCGTCGCAGATATCTCGTATCAAAGTCGGAACATGGGGGCTCTACAGGCACCGGGCCTGTTCTCATGTAAGCCGTAGTCCTAGTCCCTTTGCCGGCTAGGGGTGTGGTCTAGCAGCGACAGTGACGTCAGATTCTTTTTTTTTCTTTTCGCATTCGGGCCCGCGTGGCGGTGCCTGGCATGGTCGAGTCCTCTACCCAGCAGAGACCTGCACCCAAGCGCGTGCGCACACATCCCATCAATGTCCGCCGCCCGCCCGCCGGTGCATCTCCGGAAGATGGGATGACCAGTCCTCCTTCCCCTCCGTTTTACCTCGTTACGTTGCACGTGACAAACCATGTCGATCGTTCTTTGCTCAACGTTAGCGCAAGCCTTCCGCAGAGTGATGGATGCCAATACCTACCAAGCCAGGATGGCGGCTCAAGTTGGGCATCTCTCACATCACAAAATGTCGCGCTCCATTTGGATTTGATCCCCACTGTGCAAAATCGGGACTTGCTTTGCTTTTTTCTTTTTCTTTTTGCTTTTGATTCCAAACCCGCGTCACCTGTGCAGACGCAGTCACGTCCGCGACGGGGTCCCCGAGACCCCAGCAAAAGCACAAAAAAAAAAAAAACCACGTCGTACGCCGCGGGTTGCCGGCAACTCTCGCGTCATCCCTCCTTGACCCGAGCGCCGACCCGAATCCCGAGATTCACGCGTGGCACACCCACCTCCACGGATTACCCACCTCAAGAGCCGCCCGTCACCAAAGTGCGTCAAAATATGTGGCATTGACTCGACATGGCCCTCTCACTGACAACGGGGCTTTCAGGCTAGCAACGACAAGCAACATCAAGAAGCCTACAGGGTCCTCGTTTTCCCCCTGCCCGCCGCCGGGAATATCCAGGGTTTAAGCAAACACCCTTGCATCGGCTGTTGCCGAATACCCGAGAATGGCGTCTTTTTTGTTTCCTGTGACTAACCTTGGTTTTTTAGACCATCAACCGCCCGTTATTAAACGCCTTTCCGAACGAGATCACCTTTGTAGCGGGGAACCAAGCAATGCCGGCCCGTCGAGCTAGGTCGATCCGCCCTTCCTTTTTTTTTTTTTGTCCTATCTCCGAGCCTCCCTCCCCGGCCGTGTCAGCGTTGCAGCGCCGCCCGCCCAAGGGGTCCGGCCCCGGCCGGCTGGTCCACAACCTTTCTTTTCGTCTTTTTTTTCCCCCCGGAGCCTTTCTGCCAAGGATTTCTTCCTGTCTTTTTGTCTTTTGTCCTCTGCGGCCCGAAGCCACGTCTTCCTGCCACTTGCTGACAGGGCGCCTCGGGTGCGATATGAGCAGAGTTGCGGCCATCTCCTCTCCGTTTTCCCCTGGACAATAGGGTTGTAAATTGGCAATCAACCATAGCGGTATTATTATTATTCTTCTTCTTCTTCTTCTTCTTCTTCTTCTTCTTCTTCTTCTTCTTCTTCTTCTTCTTCTTCTTCTTCTTCTTCTTCTTCTTCTTCTTCTTCTTCTTCT